AGCCAAAAGCAAAAATGATATTCTAAGTAATGTGCCATCTGTTATAAGTAAATATCAATGGGCTAGTTTTGTTGCTTACCGTCTGAAACCATCAACGATGGTAAGATTCTGATTATGTTAATAAGTTATATTTCATCATAGTTAAATAAAGATGAAAATTTTAAATTGATTTATTTTGTTGACAGAGCTTTGTAGAAGAAAGAAGGAAACTCAGAGGATAGAAAAAATGTTAGAAGGAACCTTGACTGCACTAAACGATTGCATAATATCAGAGGATGGTGGAGTTCCCGAAGAATTTACTACTCTATTTTCTCCTCAACCTTGTAAGAAGTAAACATTGTTTGTACTTCTTCTATTACAATCAGTTCTGACCAGTTTAATAACATTGAACTTTATTATTTCAGCCTGCTGATGCGGAGAATGACCCTGTTTCACCAGTGGATATAAGGGGATCATCAGCCGATAACAACACAAATCTCCAATCAATTGCTTAATGTTTTGTTTGTGGACTACTTTAGCTATCTATGAATTTGTATTTGTAATGATTGTGTAGACTTGTTTTCCATACTTTAGTTTGATATTAGTGTTTAAATTTATGACTTGCTATTTTGGGTATTTTAATGGTAATTTATTTATGATTTACATAATGATTGTTCAGTAGATTATTTATGCATATGACTGTACATGTTTAATGTATGAAGCCTAAGTTTATATCTAATGTACTCTTAAGTTGATGGGGCTGCGGAAATTTGGTCAAGCCGATACTCCGTTGTTGTCCAAATTTGAATTATCTATACAGATGTGATTTGTGGATTTTCAAAGCTCAAGTAGCAAATTATTTCTAGTAGCAGATGTTGATGATTAGGGGAGGTGCTTTACTTGGTAATATTGTTACATCCCATATGTTGTCCATAGAGATCAAAAGTGAGATGAAATACCAAAATCAATTCATATTTGTAGAGAACCTGAACATTTGGGTAGGCTTAAAGAGTTGCAGTTTAGTATTGACATTAGATGGAGCAACGAAAAGGTTCAGTTGAAGAGATTTATGGCATGGCATATCTAATCTTTGTCCCTTTTTTAGCTTGTGGCAATTTTTATTTGTTCATTTGTACTAGATATTCAATTTTGCAATGACAAGTTAGAGAAATTTACTAGCTCTAATTAAATTGAATCTGTGATTTATTATTTTTGCAAGTTTTATGTTTTCCTTAACGGCTTGATCTCGCATACACAATCTGTTCTTTTTCCCTTATTATGCCATGTAAATTTAGAGTATATTGGAAGTTAGCTACATACTTTGGATTGCTTCATCAATTAAAAGAGTAATACATTACAGTTGCTTCAAATTAGGTCCAATATCTCAGGTGATACATCTTTTAATAATATGAATTAGCCACAGAGTATTTTAAGATGATTTTCCAATGCATATAGGGGAGTAACAATCTGTTCTTTCATTGAGTAAATTGAGGCCCCTGGATCCTTTATCACGCAAAAGCAACGAGTCAAGTTCTTCCAACGCGCTTGAGCACTAATCTAACATTACTGAAAGATGACTTACCATTGGCACCATTATCTGCGTACTGTGTTACTATTGAATATTGACACAAAAAAAAATATATATATATAAGACCAAAACACTTGTTATATATTCAGACAATCTCCACACTTAGGTTGATCAACCTCTAAAGATTTCTCTAATTCCTTGTCTACACCGCAACGAGCAACACATCTGGTACATAAGCCTCCAGTAGATCAAGTGTTTTACTTTTAAAATACTTATCAAAAGTGCTACCTCTTAGTGTAAATTTAGGTACAGCGAGCTATTGAAGCTAGACTCCTAGGGAAATGTCGACCAATCGCCTGCACAACATGCTCAAGATTGCAGATGGTAATTGTCATCTCGTCGAAATGTTTGGCAACAAAGAAGAGCAGAGTATTATGATAAGACTCTTATCGAGTTCTTTCTCATCATCCCTTTTTAGCTGATCTTACATAGACCTTCAACGCTTTATTCTCACCTGGAAAAACCTTAGCTTCTCCATACACCTTGAGAAACTAGTCGAATAAAAAGAAACTCAAAAACAGAGCCAACATCTAGCTATGTATACTATCGCAGAAAAGGGTTGTTCGCGCATCAAAACAATCAGGGTGCTTGTGTTAAACTTCGGAACTTAATCCTACTTCCATTACTGAGAAACAACTGTGAAAATCCAGTGTAAAATGACATATAACATATAGGCATTGTTGTCCTCCACTAATTACACCCAACTGTCCATTTCACCAAAAAGGCCATCCAAAATAGTAATCTTGTAATGTATACTGTGAAATGAAATGTATCACACAACATGTCAATCCTTTTGCAGTGTATTAACATTATTTTATATTTCTTACAAGAAATTACAGAAATTGCATTTTAGCTATTACTGGTGAAGCAGTGCTAAAAACAGTAACCTAAACTCGAGTGATGATCATTTTGTATCACCTGCCCAGTAAATCCACTAAAATAAATCATCACACCTTTTATACTAAAGTCCATGACTAAGAGATCCCTTCACATGGCACAAAATCCTTTTTGTGACATCTAAATGAGAAGTTTTTGGATTATGGATAAGTTGCGAAATGACACTAACAAGTAGGAAATTTCTGGCTTTGTGATAGTCAAATAAATTAAACTTCCAACAAGTTGTTGAAAGTTTATCGCATCTGGCGTTGGTTCTTGGTTGAGGCCATAGAGCGCTTTCTTCAAATGGCAGACATAATTTGGAAATTGCTTAGAGACACATCCACGAGGTTGCTCCATAAGTTCTTCTCGATCCAACTCTCAATAAACAAATACATTCTTTTCATCGAGCTGACACATATTCTAGACATTGAATGCATCAAGAGAAATAAGTAACCTTGTGTTTTGATTGAAAGATAGTTGATAAGCTCAAATATAAACCAATGTTGGAGAACTTTTGTGAATGACGATAATAGTTCGTTAATTACAATTAATAAGAAATGTGTTCTTGAAAAGCTCGGTAAATGAATTAGTCGAGATAAAACATTATCTTATGTTACTTGTACAAATATATATATATATATATATATATATGTGTGTGTGTGTGTGTGTGTGTGTGTATATATATGTATATGTATATATATGTATATGTAAAACAAATTGATCATATATTAAGCTTGCCACCCATTAACCAAAATTGTTGATGGTGCGACTGGCAAAAGACTGAATTTGTCACACGGTTGTCGAGGGTTCAAAACCCTTACTCAACTCTTTTTTTGGCTTTTGGCTTTTTCCCCAGTAATATGCGGCAGTGGCAAGGATTTTTTTTTTTCCCGCCCCTTTAGTTCTTCCTTATTTCTATTAGATTATTTATATTTATTAATTTTATTTGACTATTTTTTTTCTTTAATTAATTCTTAATTTTTTAAAAAGCTTTCTCTTTCGCTAAGTATTAATCTCATGATATTAATTTTGCGTGTGTATTATATATAATTAATGAGTACCAAATCTTGAATGTCATTTAAATATTAATAAAAATATATTTAAATATTATTTTAATAAAAAATAAAAAATAAAATTTGAAAAATGATGGATATTATCATATTAGAATTTTTTGAATTTAAAGGTTCTTTCGATCTTTTACGTCGTGCTAAGTGAAACAATTGGGTTGAAGCTATATTTTTTCTCAACTATATATCTGCAATAACACATTTAAGCAATGAAATATGAATTTAATAAAGAAATGGTATTAGATGATTTATATATGTTCAAATTTTTAAGGTGGAGAATCCCTAATTTTGTCAATGTTTTAGAGAATACGATCTCTTATTATGACAAAAAAAGACACTAAATTGTTTAGGTATTTTTAATATTAGAATATCTAAAAGGACAAATTACTAAATATGCATATTTGATCAAGTTGTTATAAATATTGGTAAATAGGAGAAACCGACTCGTTTATCCTATTTAAACACGTAGCACCCACAACCTCCGAATCCTGGATCCGCCTCTGGAGACATGAATTACGAAGTTATGTGTTGATCAAAATCGAAGATAAATGTATATGTTGTTTGGATTTTTGTTTTTCATCAAGATTTTATTGTAGAACTCTTATACTATTGATGTTTGCTTTATATGTTTGAGGATTTCTGTATAACAATTTTCTTCTTTTATTAATTGGGGAAAAAAATATTAAATTAACCATTTTGAAGAACTTAATTATACTTATTTTTATTTTATAACTCAAATATATTACTTTATAATATTATTTGATTTTTTATCGTATAGTTTTAAAGTTAATAAGAACTAAAATTGTCCTAAAAATATAAATAAATAGAGGAAAAATGTATTTAATGCCTCAAAGATATAAGTCTCATTCCTAAATGTTATTTTCTAATTTTCAAAACGGTACATAATCTTTGGCATTTTTTATATGAGAAATTAAAAAGTTTTACATACTTTAAGATTCTCATTACAATATACAACTCCACAAGTGAAAATTTTCATATACTAATAATTGAGAAATGTCATAAAATAATTTGAAGCATTTCTACTATATTTTTTTTGGGTAAATAATGAGGCTTTTATAGCTAATTACATCTCAGGTAGGTTTAGGAGATTGAGGAAAACTTAAAGCACAAGTCTTCCTCCATAATCTCAACTGTACCGTAGAAATCTACAAATTCTTTCCTCTTAGATGATTAAGCAAAAATTAAAGCACAAGTCCTCCTCCATAACCTCCATTGTACAAATCTACAACTTCTTTCCTCTGATTAAGTTTTTTTGGTTTGAAGTTCACACGCTCCTTTCTATTCGGCTTGTTCCATCTTTTCCTATAACACAGGAAGCCCTTTGTGGTGATTCTTTCATAGATTCTTCTGTCCTCGGTCAATTTCTCGAATTAGCTTGATTTGAAAGAGAAATTTGATACTTAGAGAAGATTGCAGGTACAACGAATGTAAAGGCTGCACTTGAAGGATTTCTTTTGGAGGTATACCCTTTTTAATTTATTTATTAATTTTTCAATGGATAAATCACGGATTGAAAGCCCCAGACCTCAAACGAGTACTTTCTTGGTTTGGATAAATTTCTTGATTTTGCATTTAAGAATGCGACTGTTGAAGATACGATTAGATGTCCATGTCCTATATGTCATTTTAGCAAGTGGAAAACTAGAGTGGAAGTGCAGGATCATTTGATTTGCAATCCATTCGCTCATAATTATGTTACTTGGAATATTCATGGTGAGAAAAAGGTGTTAAGAGTCTTCTAGAGATAGAGCTGCTACGCAAGGGACATTTCATCCAGAAAATCCAATAGAAACAATGATTATTGATGCATTTGGGCAGTTTTGGAAGCATTCAAGTAGTTGATGAAGGGACATCTCAACCATTGGGTTCAACTAGAATGTCAAATCAGGGGCATAGGGAGGGTTCTGGTGACTTTCATTATTTTCTCAAAGATGGAAGTGAAACGTTGTACGAAGGAAGCAAGTACACAAAGCTAGAGTTTTTAATAAAATTGTATCATATAAAGGTCTATTGTCGATTAACTGACAAGGCAATGACCATGATACTGGATTTGTTGAGAGATGCATTTGAATATGCAAAGTTACCTCCTTTTTATGAGGCCAAAAAAACAATTAAGAAACTTGGCCTCGACTACACTAAGATTCCAACATGTCCAAATAATTGTATGATATTCTGGGAAGGTGATTCAGAATTGGAAGTATGTAAACATAGTGGTACATCTAAATGGAGTCCTAATAAGAAAAAACAAGTAAGCTGCAAAGGTTTTGCTTTACTTTCCATTGAAGGCAAGGTTGAAAAGGTTATTTATGTGCAGCAAGACTGTTGAGCATATGAGATTGCATGCTTTAGAAAGTAACCCAGATGTGCTTATGAGGCATCCAAGGGATGGTGAGGCATGGAAGACATTTGATCGGATTCACTCTGGATTTTCTTCTGATCCTCGAAATATTCGCTTGGGCCTTGCTAGTGATGGTTTCAATCCTTTTGGAACAATGAGTTCTACCTATAGTACTTGGCCAGTCTTCTTGATTCCGTACAATCTTCCTCCTTGGATGTGTATGAAACACACCTCCTTCATCTTATCAATGATCATCCCAGGCAAGCAAACGCCTGGAAATAATAGAGATGTATACTTTCAACCGCTTGTGAAGGAATTGCGTGAGTTATGGAATGATGGTGTTGAAACATTTGACTCATCATTGAATGAAACTTTTAGAGTGCATGCAGCTCTTATGTAGACAATTAGCGACTTTCCTGGATTAGGTATCTGGAACACACATACTGGTTTTGCTTGTCCAACTTGTAACTTTGACACTGAACCTTGTCGTCTCCGTCATGGTAAAAAGTGGTGTTTTATGGGTCATCGACGTTTTCTGAGAAGAAATCACAGGTTTAGATTAAGCTGAGTACGCTTTAATGGAAGCACAGAGGAGAGGAATCCACCATTAAAATTATCAGGATTTGATATTTTGAGACAAATTGCTGAAGGGAGGAGTAAAATTGGATGGTAGAAGGAAAAGATCTAGACGAGCAACTAAACAATGGAACACGAGAAGTATTTTCTTTGAACTTCCAAATTGGGAGTCCAACTTGTTGCGTCATAATCTAGATTTTATGCATATTGAAAAAAAAATGTGACAATATCATATACGTTGCTGGATGATAAATCAAAGTCAAAATATAATGCTAATGCCAGCAAAGATCTAAGAGAAATGAGAATAGGGCCTGATATTTTGTTGAAGGATGATGGATCGTATAACCTAGCTATGTTTTCACTTATGACTGATATAAAAAAGAAGGTCGACACCAAAAAGTTGTTTCTTACAACTTTGAAGAATATTAAAGTACCAGATGGCTACTCAAGTAACATTTCCAGATGGGTTGATCTGGCACAAAAAAAATTCTGGGTTGAAAAGTCATGATAGTCATGTTCTTTTAGAGCAGTTACTACCATTGGCAATTCGCAATGTGTTGCCAGATCATGTAGTTATATTTTTGGTGGAATTTCCCTCATTTTTAGAGCCCTATCTAGCAAAATTTTGAATCCTTCGGAGCTTGATATTCTCTAGGAGCGCTTTATAATCAGACTTTGTCACCTAGAGATGCTATTTCCTCCATCACTCTTTACTGTAATGGTTCATTTATAAGTTCATCTAGTAGAGGAAGCAAAACTCGGAGGTCCAGTGCATTACCGAAACATGTATCCTGTGGAGAGGTAAAACATTATAATTTTTCTAATTTAAAGTTATGTGTTTTCTGGAAATACTAACAATTATAAATTATAGATATTTATGTTCTAGTCACCTTAAATAGTATGTACACTTACTAGATATTAATTTTCTAGGGAATAGGTTATTGTAAGCCCTATGTACGGAATAAGTCACAACCAGAGGGTTGTATAGATGAGGGCCATATAGCTGAAGAGACTCTTACCTTTTGTTCTTGGTATATTGAGGATATTGAGACAAGGTTCAACAGACCTAGGCGTGTCTGTGATGAACCAACTGATATGCCTTCTGGAATGTCATCTCTCTTCTCTCAATTGGGTAAACCTGCATCAGCGTCAGAAAAACTTCCCTTTAAATCCTATGCAGAAACTACAAGCTCATCGATATGTTCTTCTGAATTGTGCAATAGTCACGCCATTTGTGGAGTGAGTAACTCTTACAAACTTCATGTTCTTTGACTTTGTAATATTTGAAGTAGGCTAATCATACTCTTTAACATTAACTTAATAGTTTCATATAGAGAATTTAGAGAATACATAAAGAGGAGTTCAAGAGGAAAAAGACCTTCACCTACAGAGATAGAGAGGAGAGTTAATAAATAGTTTGTTGATTGGTTTCAAAAGCAGGTGAGTAAGCAATCATTATTTATTGTTTATATTTGATTTGAATGAACAAATTTGACCAAGTCCATTTTATTTTGATTTAGATTATGAATCAAGACACAATAGATACAATGTCTATCGATCTAAAGTTTTTAGCATGAGGTCCATTTGTAAATGCAAGAAGATTTACTGCATATAACATCAATGGGTCCAAATTTCGAACTTTGGCTCGAGAAGAAGGTTTGAAAACACAGAATAGTGGAGTTTTTTTAACTTCCAAAACATCATGTGTTGCAAGCACTGTTGACGGAAAGTTAAGGCAAGAAGAGTTACCATATAATGGGAAGTTTGAAGATATTGTTGAGATTAATTACAATGGACGGCTCAAGGTTGTTCTTTTCAAATGTAAATGGGCTGATACTACTCAAGATAGAGGGTATCAAAAGGATCTTTAGAATTTTAATTGTGTTAATTTTGATAGATTGATTCATACTGGTGAACGTGAAGAACATGAGCCTTACATCGAAGCATCTCAAGCACAAACAGTGTACTATGTGGATGATATTGTCAATAAAGGGTGGAGTATTGATGTGCATCTAAAGCCAAGAGATTTATACAATATGGGAGAAGTAATGGAAGAACAAGTATATGAGAATGAACCATACCAAGAGCAAGAACTTGACCAATTTTTCGTTGATGGTGATGAGTATGTTCAACTAGCTACAGATTATATAATTGATGATACAGTAGAGGCATATGTTGCTACTAACCTAGCAACAGATGCAATGTCTGACTGAGTTTTATTGAAGATTTTCGTTAATTCGGTTTTTTATTGAAATTTTCTATGTTGATATAGTTATTGGCATTTGATGGGATATGTTTGATTCATTAGAAAAAGATTGAACTTTTGATTGGAGAAAAATTTTCTTTTAGAGATTTGATTTTAAATTTCAAAGGACATAATTATGGATGAAACTGTACATAGTTCTTTCTATAGATAAATTGTAATTTTTAGCCAAGTCTAGTTAATTGTGGTGTTTAATTATCTGCTCAAAGCAACCACGAGTGACCAGGGAGAAATGACATGTCTGCTCGAGGAGATGGACCGACTGATCAGTAGTTGAAGCCTTATTGTGTGGCTATGAGGTTCGTATACTTATTCCGCTATTTGTTTAGAATGTTCATTAACTGTGAAATTCCTTTTCGAAAACATGTTATTTGATAATTGGATGGGTGTGTGCGATAACTATTCCATGTTTATAAGCAAGATTGTATTTCATCTTGAAAGAGGGTACGAAAATCTCAGTTTTTGAGCCCCATAATCCATTCCGTGTTTTGAATCCTCAACTACATAATAAAGGTTCCAACTATGGTATTTCTCATAATTAATTTCTCACTATAGCTTCTGATATTTCTCGACATGGTGGGATTACATGACGTGAATGGTGAGCAGGTTGCTGTAATTTATTATGTTGGTGAAAAAAAACATGGAAGAAGAGAAAGACGAGAAACCAAATTAGTTCAAGATGTGAAACCATCAATATCTTGCTCCTCTGGATTTTAACTTCCTTAATTTATTGGTGTATTCTTTTTTCAAAGGTCGTACTTTAAAGCTCCTTCCTTTGATGTGGTATTTGGGAATAATGAAGGCTAGCTACTAAGCTGCGGATGATATTAAGGAATCAAGATGTGTTTGAAGGTACAAATATCTTCTACATTTTATTGGTATTATGTCTATATTGTGACCTGCTGAATTGATCTTATACCTATTTAATTATATTGTGCTCAGTATTACTTAATGATAAGAAATCCTTGCTCGACATTTGTTTTTTAAAACCTAGTCAATCTGCCGCATTTTACTTTTAAAAGTCCTCGAGATACTTAATAACAAGCAAATAAAGCATAAAACAACCATAGTCAACATCAGGGGAGTTTTATCAGACTCGTAGTGCCTATGAAAGAGTCAGAATAGCAAAAAGGGTATCTGCACACAAGGTAAGTTATTTTTCAGTTTCATAAAGAGTAGTTTACACACGAAAATATGAAAGAAATAGCAGCATAGGCTTGCAATGCTAATAAAGCGTCTCTGGCAGCAATTCTGGAGGTGATAGCATCTTCAAATGATGATACCTCTAGTTCCAAATTAGATATCTTGTAATGTTTGTGAATCTATCCTGGTTAATTCTTTTTTCTTATTCCGTCAAGTCAATTTCATTGTCCTTTATGACTTTTTCTATGGCTACCATCTCATCAATCGATAGCTCAAGCATGTTACCAAGATGTAGTCTGTGTTGTCTGTGATACCACATCTTTTAAAAGACTTCAAAATATGCTAAAATCTCGAGTAGTTGTAAACATGCTCAGAATGGAGGGTTCACGAAGTCAGTGAATCTCATGATTTAGCTACAAATGTCTTGTGTGCTACTGTCAAAATGGAAAAAATACATTTAGGATAAGTGATGCATTCAGAGATGCTACTTCTTACTCTAGTGTTGCAGACTGCATTATGCCCAGTAATTCATTAAAATTAGAAACATAGCTGAAAAGGGAAAGAAAAAGGGTGGTTCCAATTACTTTGAAGCCTTCATTGCAATTTAGGTGATATATTGTGCAAATAATAGTCGTTCTTGAATTTGCAAGACCAAATAGTATTTGAAATATTATTAGTTTTTCTAAAGTCTGTGTAGTTGTTGGTGTAACTTCAAGTTCCATTTTATCATTTTATTTGGTTGACTCTATATTCATGTACTTCTCAAATTTGTTCTCGGGTATTATTGAGTTATATGAATGAAGGCAGTAACTGTAAGGTGCAATGAGATTGGCATGTTTCATTTTCCAATTATTTTATGCATGGATACTGAATCAATATCACATAATGATCTGTTGTTACTTTCAATTAAATAGGTACCCTTATTCTATGAACTTTCTATATGCTTTTCACTTATTTACTTTTTATTTAGTCTGAGATACATGCAAGAAATTTGTGTCCCATGTTGTCCTACTTAATTTTGAATACAAGCACTATAGTGTGATCACCGTACATCATCGTTTTTTTCCTGAGGTGTCTTCAATTTTTGGGTGCTTGTGGTGATATATTTGTAGTTTACATAGTCTGCAGTCATGTTGGCTTCCTTGTAGCAGTGACAAAAGTCAACATATCACATTCTTGATTCTAGCATTAATGTCATAAATAATCCTCTTCAATTTCAAATTTGTGGTGTCGTTCATATTGAGCATTTTTTTAATCACCAAAGAATTTATCTCCATAGTGTATTTGTCGAAGCCCCTCTCTTCATGCCATTGACAGAAAATCTAGCACCTGCTACTTTAGAATATTTATTGCTGCTACATGTGACCGGTTTAGAAAAAGCCAAGATGAAGTCCCCATTACTATCTTTGAATGCACCTCATATCCCCGACTTCCCTTTTTCGTTCGTGTAAATACCATCTACATTCAGTTTGTAATCATGTGGTGCAGGTTTCTGCCATATAGTTTGTTTGATAGTAACCACAGGTTGAAGCCTCACGTTTGACATACATTAGGCCTGATTTCTCTGATATGGCAAGTAGGATACATTGCGCTGCATAACAATCATACTGGTCTAGATAAATTTGTATTTCATTTTCCTGGGAAACATGCTCTAATCCCCAACCTACATGTTGTCCACTTCTTCCATATATCCCAGGAAATAAAGATGGATGCAGTTTGAAAGAATAATTTTGTGCTCACTATTTTTGGTATTCTGCTTCCACCATTTCTGTAACACTCATGGCTTCATTGATGAATAATACGAAGTGAAGCCTTGATGTATATCCAAATTTGGTTAGTTTCTTCCCCTTGAGTAAAAGTGTGTTGAATAGAGTTTATCTCAACAATAAAAGTTACCAAAAGAGTGAATCCCGAATCTTGATTTTGCTTCATTGAAAAGAGAACTTCCCGTGACGAAGTCTCCAGGCCAGAAAAGAGATCTTGAAAGGAACTGACTTATGCCATAACTTGTTTGGGAAATTATCCCTACGTTTGATATTCTAGATAAATACAGAGCTGATTTGTTAGACTAATGATCATCCTCAATACATTTGCTAATAGCCACATCCCCTTGTTCAACTGGTATAATGTTAATGTTCATCTCTTCTTGTACAATGCTGATAGGTAAAATACAAGATTGAGTTCGTTCATCCCATTGTTCATTCAACATAATGTCTTTGACACATAGTTTAGCAAGCAGCCATCACAAGAACCAGTAGGAAGAAGAGCCAATGGACCATTGTTTGTCACACTTTCCCACCAAAAGTTGCAATTACCATTGTTGATATTCCACTTGATATGTTGTTTTGCTTTGTTCCTTGACCATACTAAGTTTTTCCAAGCTTGAAAATTGGTAGCGAAATTCCTTGTTGGGTAAGTTTTGATCTGCACAAAAGGCGTAATGATATTGATGGGAATCCATTTATTTTGCACAACATTCTTGTTAGCACAATATTTGCTTTTCAGCCCATAAAGAGAATTTAGTCTCAATATCCACCACTTACAGTTAGAAATAGTGTTATGCATGATTTTTGTTCCTTATATATGAAAACGGTGTTAAGTTGTGCTAGATATGCTTTATGTTTCCTAAGGCGAATGTAATTATTTGTGCTAGTGAAACAATTTGGTAAGTTATTCATGATAGAGACGTATCAATTCTGCATGTTCCCTGCAAAAGACTAGTTGATATAGATGATATGCAGACCACATGTCTCAATCATCACTATTAAACAAACTATAGAAAGTTTTCTGATAAACAGAGTTAAGTTTTGGTATAAAATAGCAAAACCTAAGATGTCTATCAGCTGTGGTTAATTGGTGATTGTTAAGTTAGTATATGTTACCTGGTTGTGGTTTCATGTACAATTGCTTTCCTTAAAGGCACAATTATAAGTATATTACAGTCTGATCCTGGAAGAGCTAAAAGTGTCTTTCTACTATTTATCTTTTGTGTTGCACTTGCAGATTAGACCTCCATTCCCATGGAGACACTACTTTCAAAAAACACATTATGTGCTTGATAGAAATGACAGCGACCATGTTGTTGAGGAAAGGGACAAGATTCACAGAGTGTTAAATGAGGTAATTTTGATATTACTATAGTTTTTTTGGGTGTTAATTAAAGAAGATATATATTAACGACCAACTATTACATCCAAGGGCGTGTGACCCAAATTCCAAAGGATAGGCTCAAAAGGTTGTGATACTAGTAGGAGTAGTAGAAGTTGTAACAACAACAACATTTACAGGCTCAAAATGGTAGGCACCATACTGACTATTTATTGACCTATTCAATAAACTATGCAGGTAAGTACTTTCCGCTTTATCAGCCCGGGTGCCTCAAGTGTACATTCTGGATCATGATTAAAAAACTTCCAGTGGAGTAGGTTGTGGGGATTGGGTACCCATGCACACTAACTTGTTAGCCAATAAGTTCAGCTCCGTATATACATGGTTAACTGGTGGATTATACAGTGAAGTACAAGCACTTGCAATCATTAATAAGATGTGAGTAAAGCTCATTTGGTGTTGTAAGCATCTGTATAACATCTAAGAAGTCTCCTTCAATTTGTAATGGCCTTAGGTGGTAAGACTTGGCTTAAAGTCCTTGCAGTAGAGCATGCATTTCAACAATAACTATGGATTCTTTTGGGATTGTTCCACCAAGTTGAGAATACAATTACTCAAAGCTAAATGTTTGTTCAATCTATTTTGTTGGTTCAATCAGTCATATGTGAATAATTCTATTCTTTTCTTAGATTTTGTTATTTCTTTAATTCTAGACCACTCATAGTCATGTTTAAGTCTCCTCTAGATTATATGATTTTGTAGCTAAGCTTTGCTGGAATTTTTGAAGACCCCAGAAGTAAGCATACATGTCAGTGGGATTTTACATAGATCCTGTGCATAAAAAGGATGTCATGAAAGCTAGGGTTATGCTTGAGAAGAAGAAAGAGTATGCAACCTACAGTTCAAGGGACCCAAATTGATGATTTGGAATTCTTATTGATCAGCTCACAGAAGAGTCCAAAGTGGATATTCCCTAAGGTATAATTTCAATCCAGTTTGTTTGTTTGTTTGTTCTATTTGGCTCTCTATTTGGAGTTTGGATACTATTCTTAATCATTCTTGGATTTGACATTTTTTGTTTTGTGATGAAATTACAGGGTGGTTGGGAAACTGATGAGACATTAGAAGATGTTGCTTTAAGAGCCTTTGATGTTAAAGTGACACGGGAAGCTCGGGAACTTTCAGATGAACTTGGTGTCAAGGTTTTTATGACTGATATTATATATCACTTATTTGATTAGTTTAAAGCCTACATTGACACTATCAAGGAAGAAAAAAGAAGTTGCTCAAGAAGCAGTCTTCCCCTGTACATGTGCTCAAGATTGTACTGAATTGTGTCTTCAACAAGAAGGAAAATATATAATTAAATTTTAAATAAAAAGTAATTTTCAGTAGCAACAATATTGTGGCGGATATAAGCTTCCACTAATTATTTATTTTAATTTATTTGTTCATATAATTACATTTCAAATGGAAATAAATTTTCAGCAATAAAAATATTAAGGCGAAATGAAACTTCCACTAATTTTTTTTTAAACATTAAAATCATATTGTAGCGGTCGAAAACTTCCACGTAATTTTTTTAAAAAAACTGAAATTATGTTGTGGAGTTTTATAGACCCCCACAATATTTATTTCATTCGGTAACATTATGATATATTGTGGGAGTTTAAAAACTCCCGCAATATTTTTTTCAAAACATCAATATCATATTGCGAAGGTTCTAAACTGCCATTGATCAATTTTAAAACCTCCCACAAATTCAAAATTCATGTGTGGCATACGTCATGGAGGTTGAAAAAAACCTCTATTGTATGCCCGTGGCAAGGCTAATTGTGGCACTTTTAAAAACCGCCACAATTCTTTTTGTTGCGGTCAGAAACCGTCACAACTTGACAAAAAATCCACCACAATTGAACAGTTTCTTGGTAGTATTGTTAGGTTGGACTGATTTTTGTGCAGATTGTAGTTCTGGCGGTTCGGTTGGATTAAAAGGAATACTCATATTATAGCTTAGTTTTACCTTTTTATGGGGTTTCTTGATGAGTACCATGTTGTTTGGTACTCACTCCTTGCTTATACACTTGTGTTTGTTCGGAGCCCAGACTCATGTGATCATTCTTCTTCATCTTTCTACGAGGCTTCCAAATGATTGTGAGAGGTAGCTTCTTGTCATTTCCATGGGTCTTGTTCCTTATTTTATGCTTTGTTCTATTTGAGAAACAAATATATTGAGACTTGTATTCATCTTTCAATTTTGTTTTCATACATTAGAGACATGTACACGTGGTATATTTTGTTTGTACAGAGGGAATATTTTCTTTGGGATATATGTTTTTACAAGTTTTCCTATTGTGACCTTCTTGTCAACACACTTCTCATAAAAACTTAGCGGCCTCTTATTATTAATCTTCGAAGATGGTTTGGCTCTAGATTTTTTTGGTCTTACAACACTTCTTCATTTTGTTGGGAGTCGGACCTCTTACACTAGTTTGTGATATTTTGGGAGTGATAGATAAGATGTCAATGATATACTGTGAGTTTAATGTATTTTTGATACGTTTCACTTAGAGTTTGTGTGTGTCTTGGACCATTTTGTTATTAGAAATAATGTTTTGTGTGTAATTCTTGCAGCAAAATAGGCTTGGATGCGGTTGTTGAAGATGCGAGCTGAAAATTACAGAAGTTGCCAACAACGGAGCCTACCAAAGACCGTAGGTCCATTGACGGACTGTGGATAGGTAGTCGTAGGTCCTGGTTTGAAAGTTGAATTTCAGTAACTCAAACCACGGGCTGACAAGAAGGACCGTAGTTCAATCCATGAACCGTAGGTGCCAAAGTCTAGGTGGAAGATCAGGGAAGTCTGACCAAGTGTGGCACCACAAAGGCATCGACGGACCGTAGGTCGACCCACAGGCCGTCCTGCGCATCCGTTGATTGAAGATCAGAAAGTTGGAGTTCCAGTACCTGATTTTATTTTCTAATTGTTGGACCACAGAAAGGGACTTACGGTCCGTAGGTCGACCCACGGTCTATAGGTCATGCCGTCGACAGAAGTTGCTTCTGAGTAGTTTTATTTCCTTATTTGGTTTCCTGTTCAAGTTAGGATTGGTTTTCTATAAATATGAATTGTAATCCTCGTTTTTGGAGGTTATACACTATTGTAAACCTCTAGTTTTTGTTCTTTGGGAATTAAGTTGCAAACTTTTAGCAATTAAATTTCTAGATTTCATTTTCGACAATTTTCACTTTGAATTTCAATTCAAGATTTGCATATTCATCTATTCTCATTGTAAGTTCATGAATTCTTCGAACCTAATTATGAATTGTGAACTATCAAACATGAGTAGATAAATCCATAGTTAGGGTTGTGGGAACCATGAACAATTAACAAATTAGGAATAATAATTAAGTAATTCTTGAATAGTGTTTATGCATGTAGTGATAATCCTTATATTTAGAAGTCTTTTTAATGAGTGCACGCGTTAGAACTCGCCTCGTTCTTACTTGCCGGACCAAGGAGGTAATGAATGAGAAAAGGATTAAACAGCAAAGATTTAGTGGATTCTATCTAATAGTCTAATGTTAATTGGAGTGAGGGTGAAAACTTAACCATACATTGATGTGATCACTAATCTGTGGTAGAAGGTAAGGGATAGTAATGCATAAGCCCGTAGCCCGACCAAGGTGCATGGTGAAATTCCCTATTTGGAGGATGAATTACTTAGGGATACCTAACTTACCAACTTTGCATGTTAAACACTAGGAAAGGATTACCATTATTAGGATTACCGCGTTAAGAGCTTCTAGGGAAAACATATGCCCTAGTTCTCTTTCTCATATTGATAAACCAAAGTCTGAATTTTGTTTACTTGTTACTTCAGCATGCAAATCTATTACTTGCTTACAAAACCCCCTGTTTACTTTTCTCGAAAATAGTTTGACTAAAAAGATATAATTGTTAGTTAAGTTGAAGTCTAAATCATATTCCTCGTGGGATCGACCCCAACCTACAAGCTGTGTTCTTTATTTGATAACGATCGCTTATACTTCTTTAGGGAGGTGTAATTTGGGCGTATCAAATTTTGGCATCGCTGCTGGAGAATATGACTTTTAGATTAAGTCTAACTGCATTATTGATCTTTAGTTAAGTATTTCCTAATTTTACATTTTTGTTTTGTTTTTGTTTTCTACAGGTTCCAACTCTAGGGTATGCCAAGTAAACGGAGTCGAGGTGAACCCTTGACCCCTACGATCCTGAACTAAGAAATAATCTGAGGAAAATGGAAATTCTAGAGGTACATAATAATCCCATTAGAGAGGATCATGAGGATGGAGATGAATTGCAGCCTCCTGGAGTTATTAATGTGGCCGCTCAGGTACATGGTGGTAATCTAATCGGAGATGCAGAGAGGATGCATAATCCGCCAGTACCTAGGTTGCGTGATAAGTACAGAGTTGACTACAATGCAGTTGACTCAGAAGGGCCTATTGCTCCTCCTCCTCTACCTCTACGGCATAAATTATTGGTGACCAATAGGCTAATGCATATGCTTACATCAAGAGGGTTGTTTTCTGGTCTAGCTTTGAAAGATCCACATGGTCATATGGCTAAATTGAGAAGTGTCTATAAGAGTTATGTGGGACCACCAGAATGGGTATGGATGTCATAGGTTTGAGATTCTTCCCTTTGTCATTGACCGGTGATGCTGCAGTTTGGTTTTCTGAACTTTCATAGAATTCGATTCATACATGGGACCAATTGAATAAGGTGTTCATGGCAAAGTATTTTCTGGTGTCTAAGAAGTTAAATCACAAGGTTAAACTGAACAATTTCGTAGCACTACCTAGAGTCTCTAAGCAGTTCATGGGACAAGTTCACTGTGTTCATCAGAAGTGTTCCGAATCACCGCATAGATGATGAGTCATTGAATGAGTATTTCTACAGAGGGCAGGACAACAATGGAAAGGTTGTGCTAGATACTATTACTGGAGGATCATATGGTGAGTGCACTTTTGAGGAGACCGCTGAAAAACTAGAGAAGATTTCGCAAAACAGTAAGGCATGGAGCCCTAGATAGGCAAATAATGGCAGAAGCACAATTGCGATCCAAATTGCACCTAGTCAGTCCAATGATGATATTCGTGAAGAGATTTCTTAAATGAGGACAGAACTAGGCTTGGTATTGAAACATGTGAGTGGAAATGCAAAAAATATGAATGCGGTAAACTACTTAACTAGAACTCCACCACCACCAGTTAAGGAATGTTACTATAAGGAGGATGCATATTTGGTAAATGTTCAGACGAAGGGTTTCCGAACCAACGCCCAAGGTTCTAACTCGGATAATTGGTGCCAAATTCAAGGAAACCAAGGTCGGAACTATGGAAACTACAATCGTAAGGTAAACTATGTTCGGAATAGAGAATCTGGTAATAGAGAGGTGAGTAGTAGTATGTCACACATTGAGGATATGATGCAAACGATGATGAAGAGGTTTGATGCAACTGTTGAGAATGTGAAAGAGATGCGAAATGATTTGTCTGGAATCGGTTAAAAAGTTGATGCCCATACAGTGTCAATCAAGCAACTTGAGTAGTAGTTTAGTCAACTGTCCTCCATTGTGGATCCACGTCCGCCTGACACACTTCCTAGCAACACCATCCAGAATCCGAAGAATGATGGGGATTGTATGGCTGTCACTACTCACGGAGGTAAATAGTCAATTGATCCACCCATGTCGTTTGAGGTTGAACGAGTGGTAGAAAAAGAAGCAGATGAGATTGAGGGTACTGGAGAGTCGAAAAATGATACAGAGAAAGAAGCAGAGGTGACCCAAAAATTTGTTCCCATGCCTAGACCTCCACCTCCATTCCCACAGAGATTGGTGAAAAAGACCGAAGAGGAAAAATACCGTAGGTTCATAACTATGTTGAAATAGCTTTCCATTAATGTTCCGTTGATAGAAGCTTTGGAGAAAATGTCTGGGTATGCAAAATTCATGAAGGACTTGGTGACTAAAAAGAGGGCTATCCGTTTTGAGGATGATGAAAGGTTACAACATTGTAGTGTTGTTGCTACTAGGTCACTTATGTAGAAGAAAGAGGATCCTGGAGCCTTCACTATCCCTTGTACCATTGGGATATTGCACTTTGTGAAGGCTTTGTGTGATTTGGGTGCCAGCATTAATCTAATGCCATTGTCGATTTATAAGAAGTTGGGTTTAGGAGCTCCGAAATTGACTGCGATACATTTACTTATGGTTGATAGAACTATGAAGAGGCTCATTGGAGTGTTGCATGATGTCCTTGTGAAAGTAGAGTCATTCATCTTTCCGGCGGACTTTGTGATCTTAGATTGTGAGGTTGATTTTGAAGTTCCCATCATCT